AGCACCACACAGAATTAGGTAACCTAGCCTTTGCATGATAGGGTTTAGCAGTAGGGAGAAGTTCTACGTCGTAGTCGTCCATCTGACACTTTCCAAAAGTACCATCTAATAGGTCAGAGTACTTCGGTAGTAAGGAATGAAGCTGTTCCTTCTCTCCGTGTTTAACTGATCTTTGACTTTGGCAAACCTGCCTTAAGTCAGCTTGTTCGCATTTCGCATCAAGAACTCTTCTTGAGACGATCTTGCACTGTCATCAACAGCGGTAGGACACGAAATGAAGAAAGTTTCTTCTTCATTGGTGTAGCTATCTTTCATAGGAATAGATGCGCCGTCACATTCCACTGACATGGTAGTGAAATCGAACTGAAATCCTAAGTCAGAGAGAATATCTCCACCTATGATCTATGATCATGTAATACGCCCCCAAGCTCTGGGTTACGTGTAAGTCCCACTCGATAATTCTATCTTCGGTGAATTCAGGAATCATGAATGCACTCTTTGCACTTTGTGCTGGTGTTTAATTCTCCTGCAGGGGTAGTCCACATTTGTTGGACGCCCCCAAGATCCTTCATGCGAAATTTCTTAGCATGAGTTTGAACAATCAAGGTTCCGTATGTTCCTGTATCCAGTAAGCAACGGAGTGGAACGGGTTTGGTTTCCCTTTTCTCGCTTGTTAAATCTAACATAAACGATGGGTTTGAGGTCTCTTGTATTGCGACGTTTACGAGGTTGGTGGCCACGGACGAGGTTAACGATGGTAAATAGATCATCAGAGTCTATTTTAGCAGCTTCTAGGCAATCATGTAATTTGCCGTAGAGTTCATCAGTTGCAAACAATCATTGTTTAAACTATTAGTGAGATATCTTCATCACTTTGGTATGAGAAATCGGAACAGGGTACCGTTGAGTCATCATCCTGGCCTATCCTCAGATAGAGATCTCTCCATCCAACTGATTGAAATCGATAGAGAAGTTGTCCTCATTGTCAGAGTATTCTGATTTGCACTTGGCAACATGTTTGCGAAGCTTGCAAGTGGTTGCACGAGTAACGTCAATCTCGTTTTCTTCGTCATTGGTGACGAGAGGAAGAATGGGTTGTCACGCAACTGTTTACCTCGAAGTGCCTGGAACGTCATGTTTCCTTGAGCCATCTCATGGTGAAGAATAGGGTGAGGGTAGCTGAAAGCTATTGTGTTTGTTACAAAATGCACTAACGCCTAAAAGCTCATGTAAAGATCTTTCGAGGTTTGAGTTGAGAGAATGAAAGTTAAGAGAAAGAGATAGAAAGCTATGAAACTTAATCAACGAGAGAGATCATCATCAAGGGACCGTAGATCTGGCTTCCCGCGGGAGACTGTAAATGGTGATAGAGTAGGTTGTGGAAGTAATCCTACGTCTCTCCCAGATCCTAAAAACGTAACGCGTGGAAAGTTTGTCTAGCCTGGATTTAGTAGCTTGGAAGTACTCCACGCTAATATCTAGAGCGATGTTTCATCATCAACCTAGTATGACTAGCGCGGTCATTGAGAACCCTGTCTCAAATGACTATTCACGAGAGACTCGGTCATGAGTCGAACTCAAACCCTATCTAGGATCGAGTCGCGAATAAGGGCTTAATAAGCCGTGTTTGCACTGCCAAGATGTTTGTTGCCGCTGGAAGCCAGGAATGCCAGACATATCAACACTGCTCTGCAACCAGTCAAAGTATGGACTGACGAACACGGAGTGGTAGCAATGCATCAGTGTCAAATCAGAGTACAGCTCTGCCTCCAGTAGAAGTGGCTGTAGGCCGGACGCAATCTTGTGCTGCTTGCTCTTGGTGTCATGGACGTTGATGACTGTCTGGGTTACGCGTAGAATCAGTAGATAACACAAGTAGGTTACCCTTGCCGCTTCCCCAACTGTCCACCATCTTGTAAGAACTGGGGCCGGTACAGAAAGGAGTAGTCTCTTGAGGTCCTTGTTGCCCAATCCAGAGAACTCCCGGAAGGTCTTGACGCGTTCCCACTTCGTGGCAAAGACTTGATCAGCACATGTATCGCCAACATAGGGAGTGGTACGATAGGCTTCCATAAATCTGACCGCCTCTTCCACATGTGTCCGCCACACTTCCTTCTCCATGCTGTTCTTTAGATCGTAAACACAGTGGATCATTTGCATAGCATTCTTCTTGTCCAATCCACCCTCGCCGAGTACTTCGACAATGGGATTCCTGACGACCAACTGAAGGTTGTGCAAGCAACAGTTAGCGACAAGATAGTTCGAGCGACACAGGTTCAGATCATCCATAGACCGGAACAATCCATCGAGAACACCACCTCCACCATTGTCAGTGCAGTGTCCTTGGAACTTAAATCCATCATCGCCAAGTTTCTTCAAAGAACAAGCAATGGCCTTTGCACAAGCATCTGATGTTCCTTCTGCTGCATCAATATCCAATAGTTGACGGCGAACTTCCATTGTACCAGTATCAAACCAGGACACCACCTTGACAAAGTGTCCGACACCCTTCTTGTTGCCTTTGTCACAGGCAAGAAAGACAGTCTTGCCACGAAGAACATTGCCAAGTCCAAGAAGAGTGCGACCGGCATGCTGGAACATGATGTTTCGAAACCAGGTCTCAGAAGGGAAAGACGTACTGAACTTGTTCAAGTCAACACCTTCCATGTTACCGGTGTCCCAAAGAAAAGCCGCGACAATAAGTGGCGCAATGACTGAAATCTGGCTGAGTGGAAGGGAAGGGCAACTCGCCAACATAATGGCTAGGACCGACTGCATGAAAACAGAACCACCGGTAAACTTGTAGTGATCAAAGCCGTTCTGCAGGTCCTTGATCTTCTTCTCATTGTTGCGAAGCCGTTCCCACTTGTTCCGGAGAACAACAATGTGTGTCTTGGGAACACCGGCAACAGTAAAGGCCTGACCCTGGCTATTGATGGAATGGTCGTCCACTGTGATGTCAGACTTCGCTTTCTTGACCTTTCGCCCATCTTGTTCTTCGGTAACAACACTTGCCGTCATCGTGGAAGCTGTCAACTCGCTGCCAGCCATCACAATATCCGTCACCATCGGTTCAACAGGAGTGGTCTCAAGAGAACGCTTGGTGGTACATGCAACAGGAGATGGGTCTTCATTGACAAGGTAGCGGCTGACATTGCCATTGTTGGTGTTGACATATTCTTGGACAAGAACAGCTGCGGCGGTACCACAAACCTTCCAATGTTGGCGGCACTGGTATGCATGGCTCTTGTGGGTGGAAGCGCGCTTGGTACCAAGAGGATCGGTTTCACCAGATGGGGTGGCAAGGTAGTTGTTGCATCCAGAACAGGTGTGCCTGGCGGGCAATGGGAAGTCAGTGCAATACTGCATGAAGCGAAGGCTCTTGTAGCGACCATCAGGAAATGCGGCAACAAAGGGAGGCGGCTCTTCATCATCTTGTTCGCCACTGCTGGAACTCGAGGTACTCCGCATGGAGCGGTTGGATGCCATCTTGATCAAACCAAAACAAAGGAAAGAGGGTTAGATGAAATCAAAAGAAAGCAATGACAATAAACAACAGAAGGAGCGGAGAAAACACCATAGCTCCTGCTTACCTTTTTGTGTTTTCGAAAGAGGAAATAATGAGGATTGGACGTGCAGCTTTGGTTCGGAGGTTGTTGGATGGAGTTGTTGACAACAAGAGCCAACAGTTTGGTTTCTCTTAGGACTGCATGTTAACGGTTGGTTCGTATTTGTTTTACGTCTCTTTAGAAAAATCGCACAACCTCTCTACTGTATCACTGGTATAAGAATTGGATTCACGAATTGAAATTTCCAAAGACGGGAATCTGGGATTGATTTGACGTTGTCACATGATTTCTGGTTCCGATTTCTCGAATTTTTCGAATAATCTGCCTTCCGAATGCTTCCGAATAGAGACAAATAAACCGTCTACAAATACCTTTGGCGAAAATCACAAACACTCCTCAGCGTGGAACCCTCTTGGATAATAGATCTAAACATATAAGACTAGGCTACCTTGGTACTCCTTAAACGCTCAGGGGTGTTCGGGTGAATTTAGCGACTGGCCTTTGGCTAACTGATTATCGAGCGTTGAAGCACGTGGAGAGCAAGCCGTGCCAGATCGATAAATGTGTGAGAACTGGGGGTCATAGACTCCTTCCACGACCTCCCCGCTTTTCTTGCCCGCTCTCAGCTGTTGGGACGGGAATCATTGAATCCGGGCTATCCAGACGATAGCTGGTTACAACCAACCCTTTCTGCGGGTTAGCTAACTACCCGTACATATATCATACTGCAGAGCTGACACTACCGTAAGCAAAAAGCCAGGGGCGGAGAGACGGCGAAGGGGTGGCAACAAAACGTCAAGGCGAGAGCAAGAAAGAAGATGGACCGTCCTGAGGGCAACTCCTGAGATCGCAGGATCTCAGAAAACAAAATTGAAGAATCTTCACCAGAGAAACTGAGAGCGCAAAGCAACGCTCAGGGCATGCTGGTGGGGTTTGGACTGCTTCATAGAATCGCACGTACCGGTACCACAAGCTATGGTAGATTTACATTGTACTAACTTTGTTTACTAGTAGTACTTGCTAACTAATCGCTCTTGTTTCACTCGGCCGTGGCTTCTTTCTTCAGTGGGGCAAAGTCAATAGCAACGTGCAGAAGTTCTGATCACAGGTCAGGTGAGAGAAAGCCCACTGCCAAGAGAGAGGACAGAAAAAGTATGGTTGCTCATGTTTTATTGCAGAGCGCCCACAGGTTACTGGCTAGCGTCAATGTGCTGTTTGTGCACGATGTCTTGTCCTAGGCTCTCAGATCCCCGTGTCTTCATTCCCAAGTGCTGAGAAAAACCTTCGTTGCAGCGTTGCTTTCTTGATTCTTCCGAATATCGGCCCTTGAGCTATACTCGGAGTACGTTGGGTAGTTCCATTTCAAACGCCACAAAACCTGTGGTGGCGTCCTCGTGTTCGTGCCGTGGTTCTTCTGCCGCAGCCTTCTCCTCACAAGCTTCCTCTCTTCTTCTTCTTCGTTCGTATCCGTCTTCGGCGCCACACAAAGAATCCTGTCAAAGCCCCGAAGGCGGCTGCACTCGCTACCCAAAACTCAGAAGCATATGGACTCTCGTAGAAGCCGTTGTTTTTGTACCACCAACTACGATGGAAAGCGCTTCTTGCATAATAGTTGGTCAAATTGAAGTTCTCGGGTACCAACCGGAGTGGTATATGGCAGTACACGTTTTCGTTCGATCGAAAGTATTGTGCGGTATCGTCGTTTCCTTGATCCTCCATGTAGTAGTAATATCCTTCCGGGTACACGTCATCGTACATGTATTCACCATCCTCGCCTTCTTCGGCTTCTTCGTCTCCCTCCTCTTCGTTCCACTGACCTGCAGCGTAGTATTCTCCCTGCTGTGGATACTGGGCATAATAGTCCCTTCCACCGTTGCGATAGTAGTCTTCTTCCCACCATTTTCCCTCGTAGTACCTCGCAACTCTATTTTGCGGTTGGAAGACAATACGGAGCAGGAACCGTGTGGTGTATTCATGTAGGTATTCTTCGACATCCTCAGGGAGGGTCATAGTTCCTTCAAAGTAATAGCTACCCGCTGCCGGGCAGTTACGATAGTAGCCTCTCTTGTTGGCGTATGCAGCGCCCTCTTCCCAATCTTGTTGCTGATCGTCCTCTTCATCCTGTTCTTCTTCTTGCTGTTCTTGGTCTGCGTTTTCCTGCTCAATGCACTCCTCGTCATCATCGGCACATTCTACGACGCAATCATCGTCATCTCCTTCACATCCGTATCGCTCTCTGTATTCTCTGTATACGCTGTTGTCGCCTCCGTTCCAAGCTCCATTATAGTATTTGTTGCGCTTCCATGTGTAGCGGTCATCATAGAGGTCGTCGTCATCGACGTCACCGTCTTGTCCATAGCCACCATAGTATTCGCCTTCCTCAGCGTATACATACTCCCGATTTCCATCCTCATCCTCCTCGGTCCAGTATCCCCAAGGATACCTGTACTGGTATTCGTCTTCGTCCTCAATGTAGTCACACACGTGGATCATATTGTTGTAATCGCCCTTAAGATATTCCGTGCAGGTAGACCCATAGCCAAGACAGATTTTGGGAAGGACGCGTACAAATCTCGGTAGAGGGTAGTCGGTGGTGACTTCACAGAAGAATGCAAACGAACCAAGAACGCTGTGGTGAGAGTTGGGGACATGGATGCATAATGACAGCACTTCCATCATCTTTGACTTACATCTTCCATAGACTTTCAATTCGGAGCCCAGATAGCAAAGCTTGTGATCTGCTTCCTCGGGTTCCCACTCTTCCTCTTCTTCCTCTTCATCCCAGTAGTAATCACGGGCATCACCCCATTGGCCATATGGATTTCCATATCCATAATAAAGTCCGCCAAACCAATAGTTAGCTTCCTCCGGATATTCATCGGAATAGTAGTGACCACCTGTTCGGTCACCATAGTAGAGTCCTCCAAAGTAGTCTGAGAACTGTTGTTGCTTATATTGCTGCGGCTGGTATCCACCCTGGCCATAGTAGTATCCACCAGCATAGCCTCCATTCCCTTGCTCTTGTTGGCCACTGGTGTAGTATTGTGCCCACGGGTCGTTGTAGTAATCGCGTTGGTTTTGGCCTCCGTATTGAGAAGAGTACATTCCTTCACCATAAGGGTAGTATCCCTGATCTCCTCCATAATAGCTGGCGTACATGCCATCACCGTAGGGATAATAGCCGTAGTCCATGGCGCCATCGGCCCAGTCCTGCTCTCGCCAATAGTCTTCTTCTTCCTCCTCCTCGCATTCGTCCTCCGATTCATCTTCACTCTCGGGTACTCGTTCTTCGCATTCAATCTTGAAGTAATCTATCGTTATCCCCCAAGGATTGTCTTTGCAGCCAACCGCACCATCGACAAAGAACGAGTTTATTGGGTATTCTTCTTCTTCCTCCTCTTCTGCTTCTTCCTCTTCGTCTTGTGACCGTTCTTCATCCTCCTCTTCGTTTTCTTGATCGGCACTGTCTCTGTTACACCCGTTTCTTTGCTGTTGCTCTTCCTCTTCTCCGGCTACTTGCAGGAATATTAAACTTAGCAGCAACAGTAATTTCAGCCATCTTATCATTGTATATGTCTTCATACTATTAAAACTCTGCGGAGGGACAGAAGTAACGGCACTGATGACCAGCGAAGCTCAAGGTATGGAAGAGGCAAACAGGAAGATGTTAGCCTTTGGACCATGAACTTGCGGTGGTACAAAGGTTGCAGCCACAATGCGCTAACAATTAGCTAGTCTTTGCAATCGAAGAATCGGATCAACGTGGCTTGTTGCTGATTGCAGTGAGTGATCCTTCCTTGCCTTCCCACCACAAAACCAAAGGCCATGCGGTCAAAACTGAAGTTTTCTGAATTTATGATGGCGATTGAGGGAGGTTCGTGCTGCCACCAACTTACTAAACAGAGTTGAATACTTAGAGCTAATTGGCTTGGCACTTAAGCTAAGTAACCAAAATCGCCCATCTCCAAACCGACTTTGCGGGCATTTGCCGGCAGCAAAATTGCCTTCCGTACATTCGTGCCTCCAAAGGTGCGGTCACACATCCTTCCGGGAGCACGACTTGCAATACAAGTACCAGGTACCGTACCCAAGCAAGGTTGGACTGAAAACAAAGACAAGGTTTTATTTTGTGCTCGAGGGTAGCGTAAGTCCAATTCGTCTTAGTCTGCTTCGGATATTGCGTTGCGCCTCCTTGATGCCTGAGGAGAAGGTTGGTTGGGATGCATCTACCAGGAAGGTGATGGTTCACAGGCACCAAACCAAAGAACTTCCTTTCTTTGCAGATGTCAAAAAGGAAAAAGTTGATACCCACCATGGAACTTTGTTCGCCTCCAATTCAGTGCATGGCGTAAGGTGATACCCTCATGTACAATCCTTCCCGTCGGCGGGTAGGTGAGTTAACTTCGACAAATAAATAAGGTTCAAAACTATTTACTGCAGATCGCTCAGAGGATGTCTCAACTAACTACCTATATTGCAGTTGCTCTCTAACCTTCAAGAATGTGTTGCGGACAAACTGATTGTGGCTCATAATGAGAGGAACACGAGGATGTTTGCTTGATTTCCTTCGTCTTCTTAGCTCCGCTTTGGCCTGCAATGTGTCAAGCTCGCTGAGGAAAGTGTCAACGTGATTGAGCAGCATGGCAGATGTTTCCGCGGCATAGTGTTGATGAAAGGACTGTTTGGTCTCGCTATCACCACTCATATGAGCTTGGTAAAATGATTGTTGTTGTTGTGGGTCAAACTCAAGGATTTGATATAGCAGCACATCCCAAACTTCCTGTGATACCCCTCCAGTGTCCTTGTAAAACAGCATTCTGGAATGATCGTAACCCATATCTATCAGTTGTTGTGACGGGTTTGGAATCATGATTTTGCAGAATGTTGCCGGCGAGGTTTCGTCCAGAAATCCGTAACGGGCAAATAAGAAGGAAGGGTTTGTGGGATCCCCATATGACATGCGCAAAGGAGACCCAGCAGGTACATCGTATGTGGTAATTCCATAGCAATTCCCCTGCTCATCATAACTCAGTTGAATCTCCGTGTCTGTTCCATGGTTGAACTGTGGTAGTGCCCAAGTTAGTAGTTTAGTTTGCAAGTAAGTCACAATGCAATGCAAGCCGAGCAAATCTATGATGCCCACACGCATGCTATACATACCATGTCAGCCATTGGTGCAATCTTGACATCCCCAAAGGCATCCATTGCTCCAACGCTTCGGGTATAAACCACCTGAAAGGCCCATTTGGCAATCTTTCTACTTCGTTTGGTTTGGTCGCTGAGGAATGGAACATGTCTGAGAGCTTGGAAAAACTTACTAAACCGGATTCTTTCACTGGATGCCAGCTTGCCAACCAATGGAGGGAGACATTGAGAGCAGTAATGCGTCATTTGAGACCCATTGGAGAAGTATCGTGGCAGTGAGTTCAACCAATAATAGTAAGGAGACTGGCTGCCCATTTCGTATTCTTTGAGTATCTTCAACAAGAGGTAAAACTGGGGAATGTTGTCGCCTTCGTTCAATCGATTCAACAGGTTCTCGGCACCTTCCACTCGGCCCAGTTCTTGTTGTGCTTGACTGCTGGACAATATCATGCCACTGGGCACAAACAGGGCAGGGCTGTTGGCGGGCAAATCTTGGGTTGTCATGGCAGCCACATCCAGCCCATCTCCTGTTGTCGAGTAAAACTGAAGGCCTTCAGCCTTTTGGACACCACAACCAACCGCCCATTGTTCCATACTGGCAACATCTCGGGGAGCTCTCTCTTCCAATGAAATGGTGTCGGTGGCCACAGACTGCGCCACCGCACTCTGGAAAGCACCCACTTCTCGCAAGAGCACGAGAAGACACCCAAGCCAAGCTCGGTCTGCTAGCTTCTTCATCTTTTACCGTGCAAACTTTCTGCTTGTGAAGACGGATGATAGAGCTCAAAACCTTCAAGCCTTCCCTGCCTGTTGGGAAGAGACGGAGATGTTTGGTGGGTTTGTGGCATCAGCGTACCGGTGGCCGTCGGCGCCATGGGCATCATTCGAAGCTGTGACTGAGTCAGTGAAGACGTAGATGACGTCATTCTAAACTGGACTCGGTGACGGGACCCATTCCTTGACTAGCCACGGGACGAGCCCAATATTTTTACTTTACCGTATTCTTCATGCTTTTTGGCGCGCTTCTCCGGACACCCCCACTTTTTCGCCGTGTTGCCTCGGTGTTCAGTGCAACTTGAGATCTCCACGACGCAGACACACAAGCTGCCATGGAGTCCAACAAAGTCTCCACCAGTGTCAGTACTGGTGGTACGAACCACCCTGATGGTGTTGAAGAGAGTGCTCTTCTCTCGTCTGGGATTTCCAGCTCGTTGATGGGCCAACAGGTTCTCGGCTTTTTGGATCGCAAGAGTGTAGTCGCCTCCATGGAAATCCAAGAGCTCTGTGATCGGTTCCAGCTGAGGAACCACTATTGCGCTGTTCATGGAAGCAAGTTTGAGTATCAAGACCTACTTCGAGAAGAAATGGGACCAGCCCTCAAACCAATCGCAAGCAATGACAATGACAACAACAAAAAGCAGAAAATCCTGGAGTGCGAAGATTGCTTGTATTTGGAGGGTTGGTTGTGGTCTCGTTGCTCCACATGCGACATCTTTGATTCCAAGTGCTTCATGAAGAGTTGCTCCAAGCCTGGGTGTCTGCAGCAGAGTGTGTGTCGGATGTGCAACGAACACATCATCGATTGCGATAGCTGTGGAGAACATTTCTGTGACTCGTGCCGCTGCGTGCAATGGTGTGCCGCTGGTTGCGACCGTGTAGTGCAATGTGAGAGCTGTATCGCAAATAGTAATGAAGCAGGGATTCAGTGTGGCCACTGTCAAGAATTGTACTGCGGTTTGTGCAAGAGGTTGGGTCGCTTGGGCTGTTCAAAGCCTGGGTGCCCCAACAAGCAGACCTGCTTTTCTTGCAATCAGTCAGACGCTCGAATTGTGTTTTGCGTTGTATGCGAAGAATGTGTCTGCGAGTGCACACCGACTAACTATTGCGACAAGGAGGAATGTCGGAGCCACGCTTGTGATGCTTGTCGAAAGCTACTCAAGTGTACTCTCTGCAGCGCCGATGTGGGCTGTGATTATTGCTTACACTTTCAGAATGCCACGAAGTGTGTCGAAGACGGCCGTGAAGAGGTTTATTGTGGTGACTGTCGTGACAAGTGCTACTGTCTTGGTTGCAGTAGTAAGGAAGAGAAGAGCGAAACTGTTCCTTGTGTGGGGGCCTTCTGTGATTGCGAGCGTAAGCGCTTCTGTAGTCCCTGTCAAAAGCAACGCATGGAAAGTTGCGCTGTTTGCAGTGGTGCTCTGGTCTTCTGTGATACCAGTGTCGCTGTCGACCAGGGCAAGTGTAACAAGTGTGAGAAGCTTTGCTGTTCCCATTGCATCGCTCCATGTGATGCGTATCGGTGCGATCAGAGGCTTTGCATGTCTTGCAACGACACAACAATGGACCCAAACACACGCATGACACAGTGCAGCTACTGTCGTTGCTATTTGTGCCCTAATCATTGGCTCTCCAAAGCGGCGAAATGCGGAGATTGCAATCGCATTATCGGTTGTAAGAGGTGTGATTGGACAGATACGGATAGCAACAATGCTGGCTTTGCTTGTGACGGGGATTGCAAGGGCGAGTATTATTGCAGAAAATGCTCGGGTTGTTTCGAATGTTCCATTTGCCACGACAAGTACGACGGAGCAGATTGCAATTATTGCGAGAAATATTGCAGAGTAAACGCATTTGCTTGTCCGGTGTGTGGGTTCGATCACTGTCTCCGACATTGCTTGACTTCCGATTGAGATGAAGAGCCATTCTCTGAACTTACGTGTGATCGAGACATCGTGCCTGTTGTTGACGATGCGACTTGTCCTCAATGCACCAAGTTTTGCCCGGCTTGCCCTGAATGCCACAAAGGCACTTGCAAGATTTGCGAGCGCGAGTTCCAGGTGTGCCACTGTTGGGAAATCCGTTTTGCCACCGCTACTTCGGCAGAGAAGGGTGGCTCTGAGGATTGAATCAGCAAACAGGATGATCTAGTACTCTTCGTCTCCCACTGGTTTTGGTGCCAGGGGACGACTGTAACTGAAAGCGACGATGGATGTTGTGTGTCTCAAAAGAAGGGATTGTGTGGGTGTACTCTCTACGCTTGAATTGATCCGCCACCGCTCCAGCCTGTTGCTTCTTCGTTCTAGCACCAGTGCCTGGCTGAACCAGAGACTACCGGTACCGTACGGTAGCCGTAACTAAAGATTGAAATACTTGTTGAAACGATTGGCATTATTTCTTGCCCCCTCCACTTATGGGTTGGTTATATTAAGAGATTCCGACCAATGTGTGTGTGTACCGTGAATAACAAATGAAACCATTGTGTATTAGTGGTGGACTGGAGATGCATAGAAGATCAAACCCCTGCTTTCCTGCACTACCCAGTCCATATTAAATTGATTGAGCTCACTCACTGTCTATCTGGCAAACAAGTTGGCAGCTTGTTCTTGTTGGGAAATCTTCTTGTCCTTGTTGGTGAACAAGCTCGATAGATTGTCGTTGGATTTGATGGCGTCCTGAACGCGGCCTCGCACTACATCCGAGGCACCATTGGTGGAATTGTCGCGTTTGATTTTCTTCTTTTCTTTCGCAACTACAAGAGAAGTGTTGTCACTGCTTGCGCCTTCTTTTCGTTTCTTTTTATCCTTCTTCTTGTCTTTTTTGTCCTTTTTCTTGGCCCGTTTCGCTTCTAGCGCTTCCTTGATTTCTTCCAACTCGGCAGGAGGTGGTGCCAGCCGAACTTCGTCTTGAAAGGGACCATATTCGGTCTCGAGTGTTGCCTTTCCCATTTCCTTAAACGCTCGTTGACTGACCACATTGGGCATTTCCGGATTGCCTGGCACCAACAGAATGGCGGGAAGCTGTCCATTGAATTCCTGACCCGTCACGGGACACGACGGCAGTTTGGTTTTGTCCGTCAAGTGGAATCGAACATTGTAGAGATCCTTGAGACCACGAATATGAGCTCCCAATTCGTCTGCGTCGTGACCTTCTTGCTTGCGCCTAATGAGCGCTTCGACGGCCGCTTCTTTTTGATACAAGCGTCCATAGGGACACGCCACAATAGCGGACGTGGATTGATCAAAGGGCAATGGCAGCTTGGTCAGAGCACAAGTCGTCATGCGCTGGAGGGCTTCTTCGCGATCCGACACGGTCTTGTCCACACCACGACTGCGACCATAGTCCCCCGTGTGGTCCGCTGTTCCTGCACCACGGCAATATGCACGCTTGACTGCAATTACGCCACCGTCTCCACCCATGGTTGCTTGTTCTTCTTTGTTTCTTCTGTTGGTGGGTTGCTCTGACTTTTTTGAAAGCTTGCTCTGGCTCTAGCTACGGTACACGTAGCTAGGAGGTTGCTTGCTGCTCTCTCTCACAGACAGATCTGGGATTGAATCGAATCAATCGATTGTTCGCGGAATGATTAATCGAATCGAATTGAGTCGAATTGAATTGAATCGAATCGAATCGATTCTAGTCTGGCTCCTGCTCTCACCGGATTGCGCAAGTTCTTCGAAGATCCTGGCCAAGATACCGTAGGATGGCAAATCGCACCCATAGAGAAGGACAAGAAGCCATCACATCACAAAATCAGAAGCACAGCCTTTGCATCGCTTAGCAAACATAAAAAAAAACACAGAATGGTTCTCTCCCTTCCTCTTGAAAGCATTGAAGCGATCCAGAGTTGCAGTGGCAGCTTGGAACTGGTGCACTTTCTTGCCCCACCCAACGACAAGGCACTCCAATCTTTTCTAAACGCCTCCCAATCCTGGCTGTCCCGATATGGCGGCACTCGACGAATGACTCTGGCAACTGACATGGCGCTCAGCGGGTTTCCAGAACAAAACAATAAAGGTCCTTTCTCTGTTTTTACCGTGGATGCATTCCCCGACAGCAAACAGGCTCTGGACTATCTCCAAGAAGTCTCCCTGCACAATGAAAATGCTCCTCCGGATTTCTTTAGCTACATGCTGGTATTAAAGCCAGAACCCTCCATGAAGATATTGGCCGTTCTGCGAAAGCTTTACGTGGTCCAACCACTGTTGGGGCTCCTCTTTCCCGTCGACCGAAGTCTCGATTTCAAGCCTGATGTGCATCTCAATCAACCGGAACGAAATGCAACACAAGAAAAACTGGACGAGTTTCGCACGCGAGATCTCAAGGCACCCTTTTACAATATCAACCTCAACCGATTCTACGATCCGCCACAAGATGGCGTTTCCAAAGAAGAATACTACAAGGAGTTTTCGCAAGAGACGGCCAAGATTACCGGACCGCGCTTGCTGGGTTTGGGGGCATACCCCGCTGTCTCGGGCAATGTTCTGACAGTGTTGGAAGATGGTTCGCCTCGACAACATTCACTGCAGGATCAGTGGGACAACTTTTTGCTGGTCTACTACCCCCAACGACAAGATTATTTGGATGTGATTCCGAGCTTCCCGGATGAGATTGTGGAGCAACGGGCCAAAGCGTATCAACGGGGTGTCCAGATTCCATCGGTGGAGTACAAGGGGACCAGCCACGATAGTAACGCTCCTGAAACAGGAGGACAGTCTCGAGGTATCTTTAGGCAGTGTGGGATGTAACAAATTTGCACAGAAAAACGAAGTCTTTATTTACTGCAACCCACAAACCCATGTTTCCGTATCATTTTTACCTCCTCTATCCATCCTTAACTTGTGGCACATGCATATAAAATGAGTCTATCTCAGTATTATCGAGCATCTACCCGTAGCCAGCCCATCACTGTACGGTATCCTTATCGTTTGGCCGGATTCAGAGGCTCAGATGAAGGCTGTCAACAAACTTACTGGAAGCTTTGTGCATTTCATATCTTCGTCATTGCAACTTGGGCAACCCTTCGCTCAAATCTAGCTAGCTATCTGAGGAGGGTTACCCATTGAGGAGGAAGCTACACAAGAAGAAAGGGAGTGGCACCGTTACCAGCAGGGTGCCATCTGCACCCAGTCCCTTCCTTTTAGCTAAGATCAACTTATTCATTCCGTCCATGACCGAGAAAAAGACCTTGGGAGCCTGCACAGCCGGAACCCAAAGCAAAAGAGAACCCAAAAGATACGCTTCTTCCCACCAAGAGCTACGCAGGAAGTTACCACGCACAACGCAAACCCAAGAAGTATGTGGCGAATGCAAATTGGTCGTAATCTTCCCACAGAAACCATTCTATTAAATTTTCGTCTCGAAAAAGGACAAAGATGACCGAGCCCGAAACCCAAACCAAACCGGCCGAGGAGGACGAGGAAATCATGCCCCAGGAGGTCGAAGCCAAGGATACCCCAGAAGAGACACATGACAATGAGAGCGAAACGAATCCTGACGTGAAGGTTTCCGAACAGACTCCAGAGGAAATAGAAATAGTGGAATCTACAGAAGCACCAGACGAAAAGAAGACAGAGACTGCAGAGGAGGAAGCAGTTGCCAAAGAAGAAGCCGAATCTTTGAAAGAGGAAGACGAAGATAAGGCAGCTGAAGCTGAAGCCGAAGCTGAAGCCGAGCGACTGAAAAAGGAGGAAGAAGAAAAGGTGAAGGCAGAAGCAGAGGCAGAAGCAGAGGCCCAAGCCAAGGCAGAAGAAGAGGCAGCATTAGCTGAAACTGAACGGTTGAAAAAGGAGGAAGAAGAAAAGGCAATAGCAGAAGCAGAGGCCAAAGCCAAGGCAGAAGCAGAGGCAGCACTAGCTGAAGCGGAGAGGTTGAAAAAGGAGGCAGAAGAAAAGGCAAAAGCAGAAGCCAAAGCCAAGGAAGAGGCTGAGGCTACAGCCAAGGCAGAAGAAGAAGCAGCGCTAGCTGAAGCTGAGCGGTTGAAAAAGGAGGAGGACGAAAAGGCAAAAGCAGAAGCAGAGGCCAAAGCGAAGGAAGAGGCAGAAGCCAAGGCGCTGGCTTTAGCTGATCAACTGAAAAAGGAGGAAGCAGAAAAGGCCAAAGAAGAGGCAGAGGCCAAAGCCAAGGAAGAGGCAGAGGCCAAGGCAGAAGCAGAGGCACTTGCTTTGGCGGAGCAATTGAAAAAGGAGGAAGAAGAAAGGCAAAAGCAGAAGCAGAGGCCAAAGCCAAGGAAGAGGCAGACGCTAAGGCCAAGGCAGAAGCAGAGGCGCTTGCTTTGGCGGAGCAATTGAAAAAGGAGGAAGAAGAAAAGGCAAAGCAGAGGCCAAACCAAGGAAGAAGCAGAGGCCAAAGCAAGGCAGAAGCAGAGGCCTTGCTTTGGCGGAGCAATGAAAAAGGAGAAGAAGAAAGGAAAGCAGAGGCCAAAGCAAGGAAGAGGCAGAGGCCAAAGCCAAGGCAGAAGCAGAGGCACTTGCTTTGGCGAGCAATTGAAAAAGGAGAGAAGAAAGGCAAAAGCAGAGCCAAAGCCAAGGAAGAGGCAGAGGCAAAGCCAAGGCAGAAGCAGAGCACTTGCTTTGGCGGAGCAATTGAAAAAGGAGGAAGAAAAGAAAGGCAAAAGCAAGCAGAGGCAAAGCCAAGGAAGAGGCAGAGGCCAAAGCCAAGAGAAGCAGAGGCAAAGCCAAGGCAGAAGCAGAGGCACTTGCTTTGGCGGAGCAATTGAAAAAGGAGGAAGAAGAAAAGGAAGAGGCAGAAGAAGAGAGAGAAGAGAAAAGAAGGCAGAAGCAGAGGCACTTGCTTGGCAAGCAATTGAAAAAGAGAGAAAGAAAAGGCAAAAGCAGAGGCCAAAGCCAAGGAAGAGGCAGAGGCCAAAGCCAAGGCAGAAGCAGAGGCACTTGCTTTGGCGGAGCAATTGAAAAAGGAGGAAGAAGAAAAGGCAAAAGCAGAAGCAGAGGCAAAAGCCAAGGAAGAGGCAGAGGCCAAAGCCAAGGCAGAAGCAGAGGCTAAAGCCAAGGCAGAAGCAGAGGCACTTGCTTTGGCGGAGCAATTGAAAAAGGAGGAAGAAGAAAGGCAAAAGCAGAAGCAGAGGCCAAGCCAGGAAGAGCAGAGGCCAAAGCCAAGGCAGAGCAGAGGCACTTGCTTTGGGGAGCAATTGAAAAAGGGAGAAGAAAAAGGCAAAAGCAGAGGCCAAACCAAGGAAGAGGCAGAGGCCAAAGCCAAGGCAGAAGCAGAGGCACTTGCTTTGGCGGAGCAATTGAAAAAGGAGGAAGAAGAAAAGGCAAAAGAAAGCAGAGGCAAAACCAAGGAAGAGCAGAGGCAAAGCAAGGCAGAAGCAGAGGCTAAAGCCAAGGAGAAGCAGAGGAGAAAAGAGAAAAGAAAAAGGAGAAAGAAAAGCAGAAGCAGAGGCCAAAGCCAAGGAAGAGGCAGAGGCCAAAGCCAAGGCAGAAGCAGAGGCACTTGCTTTGGCGGAGCAATTGAAAAAGGAGGAGGAAGAAAAGGCAGAAGCAGAGGCCAAAGCCAAGGCAGAAGAGGAGGCACTTGCTTTGGCTGAGCAATTGAAAATGGAGGAAGAAGAAATGGCAAAAGCAGAAGCCGAGGCAAAAGCAGAAGCCGAGGCAAAAGCCAAGGCAGAAGCAAAGGAGCTGGCTTTAGCTGAGCAATTGAAAAACGAAGAAGAAGAAAAGGCAATGGCAGAAGTGGAGGCCACAGCCAAGGCAGAAGCAGAAGCAAAGGCTGATGCTGAGAGGTTGCAAAAGGAGGAAGAAAAGGCTGCCCTTGCTGAAGCTGAGAAGCTGAAGAAGGACCCGGAAGAAAATGCTGAGGGAGAGAATGCTGTTGAAAAGCTGGTTAATAAGGAGGCCAACGGAAAGGAGAACGAAGAACCTACCAAATCAACCCCCGACAATTGGAAAAAGAGTACCTCGGCTTCGGAAACAAATGGCCATGGAGAAGTAGCGAAGTTAAAAACCACTGAGGTTGGTTCTGCGAGTTGGTTCTCGAAGAATATGTACGGACTCATGTTGGCGGGAGTCGTGACGGTGCTTGCTGTTGGCATGAACATGGCACTTTCCAAACCGAAAGTGGAAGGAGGAGACCATTCCTAGGTTTATCTGCTTCGTTTAAGTTTGTTGGACGAACTTAAACGATTGCCGGTCCAGAAACCTGCCAGAGCAAGTGGAGCATAACAATATACAACGACTGGTGCGGTTGCTTGGTCTCTAGCTATGAAAAGAACGCAGACCAACTGGGCCCTGTGCATTTGCTCAAAACCAAAAGACGAGCATGCCAGTATTCTGCTTATGGTGCATTTTTTTAAAAAGTACATGTAAATAGTAGAATGCAATCTACTTTTGAACAAATTCAGCTGTATGGAGTAGTTGCCTTTGTTTATTGACTCGAGGACATTGCGACACTGGCGGAGACAGATGACATCACCTGGCCTGGTGGCAATAAAATAGAATTTCCATCGAAAGCGTTGTTTCCAAACCGTACGGTACCTCGGCCTTTCGTTGCCCTCGCCAACACCTTGCCACTCTTGCACGGCTAGTCTTTTAATTGGATCCCTTTCGAAATCTACGCGTACCGATAGTGTTCAAGCCCGGTCATGTCGGTACATTGAGTCCGAGAAATTGCCCAGCAAACGCAACCGTCGGATTGGGATTATTTGACGGTGCAACCCGATGCGGTCTTAACAGCAATGTCTTGATATCTGGATGTTGGAGCAAGACCCGTCGACGCAGGCAGGCCTGCTGTTGCCAAATAAGCTGCATTTAGTTCGGCGGCAAGATGTGACTCAAGTCTCGCTCCACGAAATCATCATGTAAATGAAGGCAAGGGCAAGAACGGGGAGAAAGAAGGAATGGAGAAGCAGTCTGCTTCCCGTTTGCGCTTGTTGTGTTGAGCTTTCTTGGGTAACACCCGGCCCCAGGGTTCAAGCACGCTGTACGAAGTTGGCGGCATCGGCCCCAAGCAGCGCGCTCCATAGTACTGTGGTTCTGCCACATCGGTGACAGGAAGACTCGCAGGATTTCCCTGAAACCCTGGCATGGCTTGACAAAACGTCACCAAGAAGAAGCATAACGCTGCCACACTCAAGACTGAGCACTTTACCTTGTTCAGTACTGGCATTGCTGTATCTATGGGCAAGCATACTGCTTTATCCTCGCAGAAGCCAAGGAAGCACTTGCTTATTGATTTGATAGATGATTCGATGCCTTTCAAACATCACGCCGAGTCTTGGCCCTTGCGGACCGCCCACAGTGACCCTACCCAAAGACTGCACCTAGATGGCACCAATAGCAAGGTAAGCATCATCCAACGGCCTATCTTCGCTTGTCTCTCGACAGTATCGGTAGCGGTACCGTACCATCTCGGCCGAAGCAAAGAAGATACAAGATACACATCCACATAGACTCTTTGCAGCCAGTAGCAAGCTTACATAGTTGATGCTAGCGATTTGTCATCCCAGACTCGGGATCTGTGAATGAAATCAGAAACCTTCCTACTTTGATCTTGGTGAACAGGCTGTTTGTGTACTTCAAAAGTGGTACTTCGACTGTCTTCGACGCATTGTTAAGCCATGCGATAAGATGTATTTACAATAGTGAAGTCATCCTCATAATCCTCCTCAACTGTGAATGAGTTGCTTTGTGGAAAGAGCCTAGAAACAGGCTGCATGGACGCTCTTGGAACGCTGTAGACTGATGCGATCGGTAGAACCGTAGAACCACACGCCAAAAAGAAACAAGGTAGTGCTCGGGCAATGGTTTCGCCTACTGGAATAGTTGTAGTGGCTCTACTGGTACCGGTAATCTTGCTACTGGTACATGTAGATATGGCCGTGCAGTACATGTAGCTGCTCTCTCGCTCTCTCCCCTATCCAAGAGTGAGATTGGGGGCCAAGGATCTCCAGGCTCACTTTTTTGCTCGTCTAGCAATCATCGAAGGAATCACTGGAGCCTTGCTACTCATCATCGACATTCGACAAGCAACAATGGCTGGAATGATCATAGATCTGACAACGCCTGTATCTTGGCAGGAGCAGCAGTTTGAGCCGCTTCCATTCCACAGACTGCAACGAGCATCCTCCTCGGAATATCATTTGCGAGTCCGGAAATCACTCGATCACAACATGGCTAACACTAACGAGCCTCAGAAGCGCAGGAAAACCGCAAACTACTCATCCTCGCAACCTTCCAAGCGACTCCGTCGCGAGGGAACGTCCTCCCCACGTCCTCAAGCCTTCACGGGGAAGTACATCTTCAAACTCTTGGTTGGACCGATCCACGAGTTTGACATGACCATGGCGGAAGATGAACCATGTTTCTCTGCGCTAGAATTTCCCTGGGCGTGAGCTTTCGATGAGGGAGTTTGCATGAGTGAGATTGGCTGCAACGCACCAGCCAATGACATCATGACATCAAGTCGAACTGACATGATCACGTTGAGCCGAAGAGGTCGGGTTGGGAAACGCGGTTCTACCTGAATAGCAAGCTTTGTTGGCTCCAGGACCGATGTTCCCGATATCTCCAACAATACGTTTATGCATACCAAACTGTAACTAGTAGTCCTTCAATTTTTCATTTCAGCCCTCACGGAACTTCTGTGACGCCGTTTTCAGCCATGCCTGTAGCTCAGAGAGGTGAGCGTTCGTTGCTCGGGCCTGGACTCGTTCTCTGGGCTCAACATCTCCGTCAAGGGTTGTGCAACTTCCAATGCAGTGCCCTCGCTATTGAGGCGTTTGTCTCTCGAAGTCCACATCTATCTGAGATTGTCCCCGTGGATGCTCTTTCTATCCTTACGAGTTCTCTCAGTTAGGGATAAAATCATGTTCACGTCACTCCCGTGAGTGTTGCCTGGGTGGAATCGTTGATTTGAGTTGCTTTTAATTAATAAAAAGCAGTGCTATCATGATCACTAAACATAGCACGCCACAGAGACATGACAAGACCCCCAGTCTCTTTTTACTGTGAATGCAGGCCGACACTGATCCATCTTGGCAAAGGGTTTCGAAAGCATTCCAAGAGTGGATTCTTGGAGCGAGTTCAGCATCACAGCACCTAGCACCAATTGGACAGCCAACCATACTGCAACAGCTCAGCAGGAAGCAAATGACTAAACCATGTACCGGTACGAGCTGCAGTTGCAGTCTTTTAGGCCGATGATGCCTGCCGGTACGAATTGACCGGGCCAGTGTGACGACAGGGAAGTGCGGAAGCAAACTTGTAGGCCCTGGAGGAGACTGTCTACGGAGGACATGAGGAGTGCTCGTGTTTGAGAGAATGCTTCAGCACTCTGGAATCATCGAGATCGGTTACTAACCTGGTGGCTATCGCCACAACATTCTGATCCTCGCAAGGTCGCCAAGACATTGCATCAAGTGCGGAAGCCAAACTACAGGTCATTAAAGTATGGGGGCACGTTTTGGAGGTAATCTGTCCGGTGATATCCTCGTAGAGCTGGTACATTTTCTACGTGACAGTTATTTTGCCGGATGAGATGTAAGCGTTAAAGCAAGGAGAATCGTATTCGGAATCTTCCTTTTCAACCGTTTTTCATGTGACACCCGGAGTTAACGGAAAATAAGACTCAATTCGCTTTTTACTGCTTATTTCATAGTAAATTTCGCACGATTCCACCATTTCTCAAGACGGTTTCTTTTCTGTGATCCATACTCCAAAATGGACTTCATAGGATGACGTGTACACAGTAAAATAGTACAAATTAAAATCGCACATCTTTGGAAATCACTATAAGAAAAGAACAATGACTGGAAAACGACATCTTCAAGACGGAGTGAATCGTTCTTCGGTATTCAACGCACTTTGATCGTTCCGGCAAAATTCAGCGACCATGTTTGTTGTCAGCTTGTACATGTGCTTGATTTGTGGGATTGAATCAACAAAAATCGTATCTTAGCGGCAATAGAAATTTTTCACACCGACTGTACTAACTACGTGATAAAATATGATGACAATTCGAGATTGTTGCTGTTACCCTGGTGTTTGTGTAACGGAAGGTTAAGAGAAGATCAACAGAAGTACAAATGAGAACCACTCCAATGATCCGCCACACGAAAGAAAGCCATCGATTTTTCATTATTTCAGACTTGGCTCATAAATCGCAATCACCAAACTTCGAAGCGGTAGCTATGCCCTTTCAAAAACCCCTTCTTCTTCGAAAAATGGCCACCATGGTCCTCATCCCTGTTTCGCTCCGTTTTGATTCTGGTGGTCCGTTACGGGAACAAGATTTCCATTTGCATCCCGGACACAAATCACCTGCTGTGGTTGTTGCTGCTGTGGCATCATGGCTTGTTGTTGCATCTGTGGAACAATGATTTGGGGACCGACTTGATTCGCATATTGTTGCTGCAGAAATGTCTGACTAAATCCCATTCCCATCATGCCCGGATTGTATCCCATCATGGGATATTGCATCATCATGGGCATCTGTGGTTGCATCATCGGCATCTGTTGTGGCTGAATCATCGCCATCTGCTGAGGGACCGCCATCGCCATCTGCTGTTGTGGGACCGCCATTGCCATCTGTGGTTGCATCTGAGGGATCGCCATCATCTGTCCACTAGCGAAAGTCGCTTGACTCCCAGCAACACTATTCGTCCCACCACCAACCGTCAATCCGGCAACACTCGCTGCCCCAACACCAATCGCCGATCCAGAAAGACTCACCGACCCACCAGCGGCAACCGATCCAGCGACATCTCGTCGAGCCAACTCCGCCAAAAGCTCATCTCGCGACATCTTGCTGTGATCTTTGCTCCCTTCGGTCAACTGGGAGTTCGCATCTTCCTCTTCTTCTTGAGTGGAAACAATCTCCGGAATTTCTGCCACAACCGTCTTGGCCTCCTTCTTCTTCTTTCCTTTGGCGGCAGTCTTGGTTCCTCGCTTTTGGGCAGCGGGTTTCTTGGCTCCCTCGTCATCATCGTCTTGAGTGGCGATTGCATCATCTGTCCCACGCAATGCCTGGTGAGCCTTGAACAGACCGTCACTTGTCAAGCGAGCATAAGGAAGTTGACTTTTCTCGCACTTGTGTCGTGCCATCTTCAATCGAGTCTTGAGATCGACACGAGCCGCATGGAGTTTTGTGATTCCGTACGCTCGCCAACCATGATTGGAAATGTCTTCCCAATTGGTCAATCCACACATCTTCGCTAATTCCTTGGTGAAACCATTCAGCTTGTGGTAGCCAAGATTCTTCGGGGTGTCTCCGTGCTTGGCGGGACAAAACCAAACATCACGTTTAGCCTTTGCGGTGTATTCCTTTCGCTGTTTGACGGTGGCAATCTTGGCGAAGAACTTGACGGCGTCTGGATGACACTTTCCCTTGAAGAAACGGATTGACCTTGACCGGGCAGAGTTCATCATGCGGATTCTCCATACACTCAATGCAGCGATCTTCTTTGTTCAAAGCCGATGGATTCACTAAATTGAGTCGATTGGTCTTGTCTTCCGGGAGAACGAATGCTTCATACTCATTGCCGGCGAGCTCACCAAGTCTTCGATCGTAGACACCTCCATATGTCTCTTCGTGCAAAAGATTTGCCATCTCCTTGCCTCCACGGAAAAGGAAGAATCGACCAAGCACATAGAGCAAGACGTACAGAAGATGCTGTGGATTCGTCCAGGGTTGGAGTCTTCCGTCACGAATCGCTTCCCGAATCTTCGCATCCGCATCCCAGTCAATCGCGGATTTGTAATTCTTGACTCCGAACTTGGGATCACTCTTCCGAATCATGTACCATTTGGTGATCATGAAGCCGTGGAACTGTCCCTTTTCATTGAAATCTTCTTTGTACTTGTATTGGATGCCGCGAGCTTTGAAGAAATGGAACAGTGCAACAGGACTTGGATGTACTGATCGAAGACTGTTGGTGCCAACGGTTTTCCCTTGTTTTTTCCACTCTTACAAAGCCATTTCATTCCACACAAGACGAGACAATGATTGAGAATGGTGTGCTTGTCGATGTTCTTGTCTCCACTCACAATGTTGAAGAAGGCATAATCGACTATCTTCCCATTCGCATAATTGGCTGGTTCCTTCTTCAGAAGATTCGCCAAAATGTCGCCTCCATTTTCGTGGATGGTTGTGAAGAATCGATTCACACAGCGGGTGATTTTGGCGGCATGTTCCTTGGATACTTTTCCTTTGTCTTCGGATTCGGCTAACAACTTGAGGTCTTCCTCAGTCAATACCATGGATTCATATTGATTTCCAGCCTCCAAGGCACCAGCAATGGCAGCGGCAGAGTTGAGTGTTGGAGTTGGCTGCTCCTCTTGTGGAGTTTCTTGTGTTGGCTCATCTTCCTCTGCTGTTGGTGAGGCTGTGTCCTGATTTTCCCCATTTTCCAAGGAGACTCTGGCAGGTCGGTTGTTGATTTGAGGAGTTCCTTCATTGCCATTTCCACCGAAGTCAATGGTACATTCGAGCGTGGATTGGAAGACGTTTGGATCTGCTGGAGGAGGAGAAGGAGAAGGAGAAGGAGAAGGATTGGCAAAGTCAAGGAGTGTCGCCGCAGCAGTTCCTTGTGTCAAAGGTGGTGGAGGAGCTGAGGCGAAGCCAAGCAGTGTTGCCGCGGCCGTTCCCTGAGTCAATGGTGGAGCCACATCTTCCTCCGAATCCGAATCCTCATTGCCACTAGTGGGAGGAGAAGTTGCCGGTACAGGAGGAAGGACAAACTCGTCGTCGGACATCTTCACGGCCGTAGCTTCAGTACTGAATCCTACAGGAGTAAATCTTTCGAGTGAATGACCTGCTACTGGAGATGTTGTGTCGATGGCCAAATGATGGGCTATTGTTGAGTTTCTTCAATGGAGCAGTGGGCAGTAACAGCAGTCTAATGTTTCAGTCTAACAGCTTATGTCTCTCGGATTATCACTGTACAGATTACACACAAATGACGGTCCTCTTCATTGGCAGACTCGGGTGTCGGCTGCGATCTCGTCTTCGGTCTCGTCGCTTTTCCAGGCCTTCGGCCTTCCTTTCGCGCCTTGACCTTCAGCCTCGATCTTGCCTCCTCCTCTCGTCTTAAGATCTCCGGCCTGCGCGCTACTGTACGCGCCATACTCGGCTTCGCCTCGGAATCGCGCGTCCATAGCGCGCGGCCGTCGATCTTCAAATCAGCGGGCCGTTTTTATACAGACTACTCCGGCTTGTACATCCATTCAGGAGCAAAACAATCAATCTTTCTCTTGCATACGCTGTACCAGGTACTAGTAGCTAGTAGTCTACACGTCGTGTCTGGAACTGGAATGATTCGATTCAATCGAATCGAATCGAAGGCAGAGGGTGTACATGTGGAGGGTCGGATACTCCGTCTGATGGAACCGAGGGGATGGTTCGGGACACTTCCTACATTCACCATTTTATCTGGTTCAGGTGACGCAACCGTTTGCGGCCTTCACAAAGACTTCCGCGAAAATGATCAAATCAACGAAAATCGATTCAATCATTCAATCTTCGCTTCAGTCGAAGGGAAGGTGGAAGCACGACGCATCGAGTACATTTTCATCTCCGCTTTGTTGTGCTCTCATTTTAAAAATGATGACAGCATCGTCCGGATCCTCCTCTTCTGAATCTCTTTCCAATCATACCTCCGCGACGCTGCCCTCCGATCAAAGTATGGAAGCCTCACCCGATACCACCCCTTCGCCGTCTATCATTGCGTCTGAGGAACTTCAAGATCCAGTTGTACTTGTCGACACATTCTTCCGAGCCTCCAGCTTCAGCAGTAACAGCACTCTTTCGAATGACAATGACCAAGGCCCAGATCTTGAAATGGGGCCAGCGCCGTTCTACGACTCCCGAGACGATGGCTCTGTTGTCTTTCATCACCTACACAGACACACCCTCAGTCATGACATTTTCGTGGTGCCAGAAGGGGAAATCAAGGAAGGCGGCGATTTCATGTTCACAACTAATACCGTAGTGAACATGAACGGGATCCTTGGTGGCGAAGACAATCATGAGACCGACAATCAAGAAGAAAAGCAAGACGTCTTTGCCAGTTCTGGAAGTTCCCTCGTTGGAGGCGAAACAGATGCTTCTGCGAGATCCTATTCCAGCAAGAGCCATGATCCGACCCAATCCTACACGTACAAGTGGAATATGTATGCTCCTTCTACCAAGGACTTTGGAAAGTTCTTGCGTTGGACCATTGTGGGTGGCTCACGGTTCTCCCCGGAACAAACGGATGAAGAGCTGCAAGCGTCTCTCGCTGGATTGGCCCAGTGTTTGAATCTTATGAGAGACTATTTGACACACTATGGCATGCCGGAACGTGGCGGACCTCGGGATCAGGAATATGTCCTTCGAGAAGTTGTCAGAGACCTCTATGGAGGAGGGTGCCCTCTTTGGGCTCTGGAACCAGGTGAGCTATAATGGTTTCTTCATGTCAAGTTGAAGACATCAGCTGCTCGCATCATTGGTTGCTTACTTGTTTGTTTGCTTGTGAATACCAACAGTCATGCAGAAAGCAGCAGAGGGGCTCACGGTAAGGCACAACCTGTTTGCCTCCTTTGCTGTCGACCTCTTTCAACGCTCATCTTCTCGAGCTGTCTCCCCAGGGCCAACCAAATGTGAACTGGCAATTGTATCCCCGCAAGGCGTTTGTGTACAACCCATCGTCAGGTGAGTATCAGATGGCTGGTACTTTCCAAGTTGGCTTGTGTATAACGACATCAAATCTTATCTTTGTCTGTTGCACTCCGCCGAAAGGCACTACGAGCATGTTTCGCTTGGATCGCGGTTTCAACATTAGCAAAATGTCGGCCATGGAAGGCGTGGCAGTTCGTCTTGCAAGCTTTGCTTCCAATGTTCAGGGAGTCAGCAACATTCCAGCCCGGTTCCCCAACCCAGCGGACTTTTACAAGGCTTGTAAACAGAGCGTTCGTAACTTGGGCTTGCGCGTCCCGGAGGAGAGCAAGTTGGCCCGCAAGATTCTGAATTTGGCATCTCGTCAACAGGGCCTCTTCTACTACGTCAACAGTCGAGAGTACATGGGAGGTGACACGCCCATATTGGATAGCAGCAATTCCCCCAAACGACCCACTCTTCATCATGCGGTGGAAGACTTTTGGATTGTAACGGATGAGGAACGGGAACTGTTCTCCCGTTTGGCTTGTCAAGAGGCGCTCAAGCACATCAGTATCATTGATGCGAGACAGAAAGATGCCGCGCAAAAGCCCTTGTACTCGCCTCTCCTTATCATCGTCTGTCGTGCAGTTGCCTCCGCTGGTGCTTGCGCTTTCTGGTTCGGAGGATCTTGGCAGGATATGATTGTGGCTGGTTTATTGGCCATTGTCGTCAACGTGATTGGAACGAGTTCACTCCTCAACAAGCAAGAACGCTTGCTGTACGAAGTGGTTGCAAGCTTTGTGGTTGGTTTGACGTCAGGTTTGCTGGCGTTGAGCTTTCCTGAGCATATGTGCTTCTCTGCCATGGGTAAGCCCCCAATCACACATACAAAAAGGACTGTCTTCAAATCAACTCGACGCCTTTCTCATTCATCGTGCCTTCTCCCTTTGTTTCACAGCCATCTCTGGAATCCTCGATCTCTTGCAAGGTTTCAGAGTGGTGTATGGTACGCAGTCGTGCATGGTACAGTCTCGTTCATTCTTTCTCCGTCTCTCTCAATCTGACTTCCTGTTTCATCTCCTCCCTAGCCGTCATTGAAATCATGAGCCGACACACCGTGGCCGGTGGAGCAGATCTGTTGGAAGGTGTCCTATTCACGGGGTTAATATCGTATTTTCTCCAATTTGGGTCGTACACAGCAGCCTCTATTCTGGGAGATGCCAGAGCCACGGAGTTCGCTCACTGCGACCACGGCCTTGATCCACGCTTCTACATCCTGCTCGTCCCGCTAACTTGCGCAGCATTTGCCATCATGTTCACTCCCAACCTCCGGGAGTTGCCAGGCATGGCATTTCATGGTATCTTGGCCTATTGCATGAACTATGGGTTGGCCGCGTTGGGAGCCACCAGTGACCTGAACTATTTTGTGTCAGCTTCGGCCGTCTCTCTGAGTGCCGGCCTCTGCTCGAGGTATGTCACGGCACCGCTGAAAGGGCATGTTGCCCGCATAGGCTTCGTGTGAAGAACACCTTGTCTCACCATTTTGTTTTCTTTGTCAGATTCACTGGACGCCAAGCAGTCGGCAACACTGTCGCCGGCATTTACATGCTTCTTCCGGTACGCCTGGGTAGATGGAGGAGACCAAGGTCTTTCTGGCTTCTCAGTTGAAGGTTTCTCACTCTCGCCCGTTTGCATTGGTGTCATCCTGCAGGGAGCCTATCTCGTCTCCTCAATTTACTCCGGCGACTTGGACTCTTCTTTCTTTACGGATATCCTCAAGAGCGCCATTGTCACGGGTATCGGGGCATGGAGTGGAACCATTCTCTGTAGTCCTACGCTGTTGGGGACTACCCGTGGTCTCCTATGGCAACAGCAAGCAAAGTTGCCAGGTCTACGCCGTGGTTTGAGCAAGGAAGGAGACCGCGCACCACCACCTTCAACAGAAGACAACTCAAGAACCTCTCGCAGTAACCGAGGAGGCCACGTTTCATTTGCTCCAAAGGGCCATCATCGTGTTGGATCCAAGACGTTGTCTGCTGCTTCGGGCCACCACCACCGCGACGGTTCCCGTGGTTCATCAGCTCAACAGGCCAGCACCGGTGGCCATTCCAATAAGTCACCGCATCAGCATCACCGAATCGAGTCCAATGTTTCCATTTTTGATTTTGATCACCCCACATCCACGATGCTTTTCTTTTGAGGTTGATCGAGTTGGATCTTTCTGTGTGTGTGTTTAGGATAGAGAATGTTTAGATATATAGATAGACAACATAACCCCCTTTTGCCACTGGCTACTGTTGTTTTTCTCTGTCACAAAATCAATGCTCGGCTTGTTTGGAGGAGATTTTCTTGGCCCTTGGCTTTGATGGCATTGTAGAGACGTCATGCCGGAACCAATGGGTTCCTCCGTGGAGATGATTGACATCAAAATGGCCATCAGTGGTTCGTCTCTTTCATTATTTGTTCGGGGCCCTTGGCGTTGCAGATTGTTTTGTAATTTGCTTCAGAAAAGATTGCGTAGGAGACAGACATCATCCAGTCGAAAGATTCGTGATTGGAGTTGGATGGTCACATCATTGTCTTGCTGACCAATGTATATCTGTGAGAGCCTTGCAGACTGATATCAGGTGTGCCGGAAAAAGTTGGAGAATGACTTGACAAAGCATTGCACGGTTGCCTCAGCACAGAATAAATCCTTCTCGTGGCTGCCATTCTACAGCCGGGGGCGTCACAAGCGTTCACGGTTGAGCTGACTCCAGCTGGTAGACTTGTCGGAGCAAAACATGATCTTGCTAAGACTCGTCTTCGCTGATCGGGCAGTCGTCTTTATCAGTCAATACATCCGGTTCAAGACAAGAACACGAGAAAGACCTGTCGAGGTCGAATCGAATGAATCCCATGTATTGGGGCAAACATCGCTTGATTTGGAGGCTCAGAGACGGAGGATTGGGAGGAGAAGGAAGCAGGGGTCCTCTCCATGCATTGAGAAGATACGGAGAGGATTTATTAGCCATGGCAACAAGACAATCGACATGGTCCAAGAGTTGGAAGTGGGATTTGTTTGGATGGCCTTTTGCGCCATGAACTCAGAACTTTTGGGGGGGATTAGGCAGAGCGGTGGGGGGAAACTTTCGCCCCAGGGGACTCAATCTATTCGAACGAAACAATCGAATTATTCGATCCGTCGTTGAGTAGTTGGGAAGCAAATAGCTGAGTGGACAAGACACCACAGGCCCGATAAAAGGGGAAGAGCATTGGATTATTCGCAAGTAGAACAACACTGGCAGGGGGGCAAGCTTAATAAGAGGATAGAAGGCAAAGTCGTGTGCTGGGATCCGTGGGATCAGGGGCTGGATACCTGTGCAAGGGCCAAGGTGCGTTTTTTTTTTGCGAGCCACAGTGGTGGCATCAATAGTGTGTGGCCTTATTGCTTAGTGAGAGCGATGGAGAGCTGGGTTTTGATGCCAGACACCATTTTTGAGCAAGAGCATTGAGTGTTGTCAGCATTGGTGGAAGTGAGGCATTGCAAAATGTTTTTGGCTTTGGGAGCCAGCATGCTGTCGAAAAGAGACTACCAAAGGCTACGAGACATCTAAATCAAACCGTACCGACCTGGCCTTTTCCAGGGGGAAGAGATGAAAACGTGGGTTTCTTGAGGGAGAAGCGCTGAAAGCTTTCGTCCTTTCAACCCATCCGTGAAACGTAGACTATGGGCCGACTACAAGATTCCCAGTGAACGTAGTTTTCATGTAAGAAGAAGGAAACTCGACTTCGGAGCCTGAACCTGGCGATCTTTTGGCCTGAGGAGCTAGCTAGCTAGCTAGCTAGAAGAAACAGTTAGCGGAACCGTAGACATGCGATTTGTGGCAGTGTTTTCTGGCCCAGCCTCCCCGCAAAAGTGTCGGACCGAAAACGTAATCATACAAATTCATCTTAGTTCATTGACATGATTTCTTAGCAAGATCCCTGTGCGCCGTGTCCAAACAACTAACATTCCTTTCTAACCAGAGCAGCTCGGGTCTTCCACCAATCTCATCCACATCAGTTGGTCCTCATCACCTTTGATCACACCATACCGTACCATACCGTGCCGTACCGTACCGTACCGTACGGTACCGTTCAACCTTAGACCTCGTCTGCACCTCTTGCCCGCCTCGCCTCGCCTCGCCTCGCCTCTCCATCCAACCAACCATCCTTGAGTACCGGTATTGTGCAAGATCCATCCATCTCTTCCATACGGTATCGCGCCACCAGCCTGGGTTCTTTTAGCGCCTGCTTCCTGCTCCGGTGCGGCCAACTCCAGAGGCATCCATGGATTCGGCATACCATGAAGAGCTGGAGTTGCTGACACTGCCAAACAAGTTCATATGGGCTGGACCTGCCGCGGAGACGGACATGAAAACCTGGTTGGTTCCGCGTCTGGCTCGGTTTCGAGGTGTGGCACTGTGGTTGGACGGTGCATCCAAAGGTTGGCTGCTGGTCGCAGAAGAAGACTGTACGGATTTCTCTCGTCGGCCTCCCGTCAACGATCCCAAGAGCTTGGACATCATGCTGCTCTTCTTCTTGGTAGAGGTATTCATCGTGATGGCTGCTTTCTTGTTTGCCCAAAAGTTTTTGTGTGTGTCTCCAACCTCCATCTGATTGCGGGGCCCGGAAGGAGCAAACATTTTACTTGGTTGCCAGTTCAAGTTCAGTGCCAATTGCAGTTCCCAATGGTGCCGTGGGAGCCCTTCCTGCCGCCTACTAGCTAGACTTCGAACTGGCAAGGTCGGACGCTCCAAGACAAAAGTCGTCAACGTGGAAGATGGCTTCGGATCATCGATTGATTCATCGCTACTCTCCCGCTCGCAGCTCCCGAGGAATCCCAGTTTCTACCCTTACGTACCAGTCAGCAGTCACAGGGGAGATGTAGACCATCTACCGGTACCGGTACAGTATGATTTGAAGAGCCAACCATAGTATTGCCCTCATCCCTCATTATTGTACAGTGTACAGCCCCATGTGTGTCTCAGTTTGACTGCTCGAGAATCGAGAACTGACACCTGACACCCGATACGCCACAATAATACCGGTACTCGCGTCACCGCGTCATTGCGTCACTTGTTACATGCAGTACTGGTTACCGGTACTCAGTACAGTATATGCATACTTGGGACCACTACTGGGGGGATGGAGAAACGAAATAACAATGCCATCTCACTGCCTTCAGGGTAGTAGCCAAGGCACACCGTAGCGGTACCGCTGCTGACCACGGATTCATCAAACAGTTGTCACCTTTACCACTGCTTAGCACTGTCAGACCACCGTTTACCACAGTCACTACAGGTTTTGTAACAAGGAACAAGACAGTGGTGAGAGTGCCACTGTTTACCACTGTCTACAACGAGATTGGTCATGGTTTACCTTGGTTGGCATGGTATTGCAATGGATTTCTCCATCCCCCGGTAGTCAACTAGTTAGGTACTAGGTGGTACCGGTACGACTGTGGCCGTAATGTACCGTACCTTTTACTGTAAACTAGTACTGGGTAAATAGTAAACTTAGACTAGCAGAGGTTGACTCCGGAGTGCGGACACCAAAAGTGCACTAGAAGGATCAATACTCAGTACTCAGTACTCCAGTACACAATGCTTTTCCAACCGATTAATCAATAAGGTGGTCTCCCTCTCTGTTGATGCATGATGTGGATGAGACTTATGAGCTGACGGATGTATGAATCTCGCTCCGAATGAGAAAGCTATTAACGGGTACAGTGTACTCGTATGCGTACGGCTGTCGGAAGCGAGGAGTGTGTATCTGGATGCAATCCCCAGTACTCACCATGCTGCTTTCTAGCTAGCTTCTAGCTAGAGAGGTTGTCAATTTGTGTGTGTGTGTAGGTGTGTGTACGTGAGTGCTGTGTGAGATGTGTGATGTTGTGTGAGATGTGTGTAGATACTACTAGGAGTTAATCTACGACGAATCTACCATTGGATGTTTATCCATGGGGTATACCGTTGCTTGCTGATTTCCAAATTCTGAGCTTAAGAATTTCGCTGTTTGCTTCATCAGTGGGAGCAAGCTGGGGATGGCAAAAGATACAAGCGGGTAGGCTGTGAGAAAAGCAAGGTACCCTGTTTGTGGTGATTTCGAAAATAGACACATAGAGAGCTGGTACGGTATAGAACGAAACCAAGCTAAACTAAACCGTAAATCCAATACCCGATGGGCTGGATGTGTGGTGTGTGTTGTGTTGTGTGTGTGTGTGTTGTGTAGTGTGTGTACGTGAGTGTTGTGTGAGATTGTGTGTGTGTGTTGTAGGTGTGTGTACGTTGAGTGTGTGTGAGATGTGTGATGTGTGTGAGATGTGTGTAGACACTACTAAGAGTTAATCTACGACGAAACTACCATTGGATGTTTATCCATGGGGTATACGTTGCTTGCTGATTTCCAATTCTGAGCTTAGGAATTTCGCTGTTTGCTTCATCAGTGGAGCAAGCGGGGATGGCAAAAGATTCAAGCCGGGTAGGCTGTGAGAAAGCAAGGGTACCCTGTTTGTGGTATTTCGAAAATAGACACATAGGAGCTGGTACGGTATAGACCGAAACCAAGCTAAACTAAACCGTAAATCCAATACTCGATGGGCTGGATGTGTGTGTGTGTGTGTGTTGTGTGGTGTGTGTGTGTGTGGGTGGTGTGCCATGGCTCCCCGACAAGCTCTAATCCAGAAAGGATGAGACGGGGGAGCCATCTAGTTCTGAACCTTCCTGTAGGACAGTAGGTTGCCAAGATTGGGGGGCCTGGAGTAGGCTACATCATCCTATCCAGTCCATTGGCATGTTCCTCGCATGGGGCCCACTGTGTGTGGGATCCGGACATGCTTGAAGGGCATCAGGTTCGTGGGATTGCAATGCAATCCCTCCAGCCTTGTGGAAGACTTTGATGGGGATCCTTGGGGTGGTATTCCAGGTGCAGCACTGGATTCCCATGGTGTCCCTCTGTTGTTGTTGGGCTGGGGGCCACTGTAGGCCCTTGCCCTGGTGATTGCTGCTTCAAAAAGGGGGCTAAGTGTGGTGGCTTGGTAGCCCCTGGCCAGGAGCCTCTTGAAGAAGAGCTTGGTCCTGGCGAGCCTGTCAGTCTCCTCAGAGCAGAGTGTATAGATCCTAAAGAGGTTGCCATACACCACTCCAGACAGGAGGCCTGGTGGGTGAAGGAGTGGGATGGATGTAGAGATACAAGTTGGTTTGGTTTCTCATACAGTGTGGGACCAGTTTGTTGTCATGTGTGAGGGTGATTGTCATGTCAATGATCTCTCT